TTGTTATAAACATAGCTGCCGTGAATTAAAAAAATGTTCAAAAAATCGACTGCAGAAGACATATAGGGTCTTGTTATCTTCTAGAGATGTTGGCGACCACATTGACACATCTTATCTTATTCACAGCAGCTCGAAGTCTACGTCCAGGGCCTCTCTTACCACAATCTTGCCCTGTAGAATCAACTGTAGAAGTCGGTATTTATCATTACGCATGATGTGGCCGAAGTAAGCCAATTTTCTGTTTTCATGGTGTTAATAATTTCTTTGTCTTTTCTTAGCCTTTGTAGAATAGTTATATTACTTGTGTGGTGTATATATGAGACACTGAACATACGTCGGTAGCACCACATTTCAAATGCCTCCAATCATCTTGTTATGGAAATCCCGATTACTCAAAACAACTGTCGATTACCTGGCGGGGCCAGGATTACGAAAATCTTTTTCCCTGGAATATTGAGTTAGGATATTAAGTTGATAGAGCAGCCTAGCACTCTGTGAATAGAAGAGAAATGTTCAAAGCAATGAAAGAGCTAGGAATACCATATCAGTTGAAAACTAACTCTTGAAAAAGTTGAATCTAGAGTACGAATTCAGAGGGACTCAATTTGGCTCTAGAAAAAGTAATACGTATGTCAAAAATTGCAACCACTGGTTCGATCTATAATAAATCAGAGCAAATCCTGGCCTATACTGTTGATATCAATATTGTTGGGAGAGCGGAAAACGCTGAACGAGAGGCATATGTAGCATTAAAGGAATCAGGTACAAAAATGGGTTTAATAATAAAGACCAACAAAATATAGTATATGAAAATAAGCTCGCAACCACAACTCCTACGACTACTTGATATAGAAAACAACGTCATCGAAGCAGTCAACAAATTTGTATACCTAAGAGCGCTGCTTAACACTGAAAATAATACTACGGAGAGAAACTGCAGAATTTGCACGCATGCCCAACAGATGCTATTTTGGGCTCAATCTTCCCCTTAAATACACAATTATATCAAGAAATACAAAAAAACTCTACAAAACAATAATACTCCTAGTTCTAACATATGGTTCAGAGGCTTGGACTCTAACAAAAAATAATAAAAACATATTAGGATGTAACAATAAAACACTAAAAACTTTGTTTTCAACTTCCACAAAATTTATTTTAACTCTTATCACTACAGCTGTTTCGGCTGATTGCCTTTCTCAAGTGATCTATTTTTGACTTGCGTTTACACTTTATAGTCTCTAATGAAATAGGTTGAGGAGGAGAGAACTGTTTGTCTCAAGTTAACCATTCAGAATTATATCTGTGTTTTTTAGTTTGTTGATTTCCATAGATTCTAACAAGGATAGCTTAAGGCCTTTATTTTGAATGTGAAGAATATTAAATTCGCCATTAAAAGAATAATTGTGATCTAGAAGGTGAAGTGCGTATATAGAATCTGTTTTTCTATTATTGAAAGCCCTTTTATGTTCTGTTATTCGTTCATTAAAATTTCTACCAGTTTGGCCGATGTAAGTTTTTGGGCAGTCGCCACATTTAAGTTTGTATACATCACTATGTAAATGTTTTTTATTTTGGCTCTTGTTGTTTTTAATATATTTTCCTAGGTTGCTATTTGTTCAGAAAGCTGGTGTTATTCCTTTCTTTTTTATGTGTTTGGCTATTTTAGTTGATATTTTGCCTGTATAAGTAATCGAGCAGAAGGTACTGGGTTTTTTCACTTGTGGTGGAAATACTCATTTCAGGGCTTTCTTGTGTAGTTTTTGATTTAACATTTTATTAATTGTTTGTTCGTTGTATCCGTTGTTTACTGCTATTTGCTTAATTATATTTAATTCTGTCTCAAAATTGTATTTTGACATCGGAATTTCTGTTAATCTATGTAACATACTATGATATGCTGCCGGTTTAAGTTGTGTTGGATGGGCTTATGAAATGTGTATAGTCGTGTCAGTATGGGTAGGTTTGTGAAATATGGAGAATTCATGTTTGTTTTTAAGTCTGATAATTTTTAAATTTAAAAAATTTGTGGATTGATTTTGTTCTAATTCTATTATAAATTCAATATGACTATGAAGGGAATTAATATACGATAAAAATTGGTCGAGTTGCCTGTTAGTTCCAGTAAAACATACTAGTACGTCGTCTTCGTATCTCCACCAATATAAAAATTGTTTAAATACGGGATGCTTTGAAAGCTTTGTCTCTAGATGATCCATAATAATATCTGATAGCAATGTGCTTAGAGTATTGCCCATTATAAGTCCTGCGCTGTTATTTGTATATATTTGATTATTAAGTTCAAAGTAGTCCTGGTTTATGCAAACTTCAATAAGATGTAAAAGTTCAGATGTAATTATTGGATTTGTACTATTTTGGTCTAAAAGGTTTTTTACTAGAATAAAAGTTTCTGTAGGAGGGATACTAGGAAAAAGATTTTTTAACGTCAAATGAAATTAATCTGGAGTTGTTAGGTAATTGAAAATGTTGTATTGTATTAGCTATTTCTATTGTATTTTTTATGGTAAATTTAGGTGAACATTTAGTGTGTTCTAAAATGAAAATGTGTTTTTGAAAGTTTACATGACGGAGCTGTATAAAATGAAACTACAGGTCCTATTGGGTCATTCCGTTTGTGTAGTTTAATGAAAGAGTATAATTAAGGAGGCTGTAGGTTCATGATATTGAGGTATTTCTCAAAAAAACTGTTAGAGATTATTTTAGAACACACTAAATTTTCACCTAAATTTACCATAAAAAATTCAATAGAAGTAGTTAATAAAATACAACATTTTCAATTACCTAACAACTCCAGATTAATTTCATTTGATGTAAAAAATCTTTTTCTCAGTATCCCTCATACAGAAACTTTTATTCTAGTAAAAAACCTTTTAGACCAAAATAGTACAAATCCAATAATTATCAAAAATCTGAAATTTTACATCTTCTTGAAGTTTGAGTACAAATATTACAAATAGTACAAATAGTACAAATTACAGTGTAGATCTTATAATGGGCAATCCTCTAGGCTCATTGCTATCAGATATTTTTATGGATCATCTAGAGACAAAAATTTCAAAACATCCCGTATTTAAACAGTTGTAAACAGTTTTTATATTGGTGAAGATACGTAGACGACGTATTAGTATGTTTCACTGGAACTAACAGGCACCTCGATAAATTTTTATCGTATATTAATTCACCTAATAGTCGTATTAAATTTACAATAGAAATAGAATAAAATCAATTCATAAATTTTTTAGATTTAAAAATTATCAGACTTAAAAACAAACATGACTTCTCCATATTTCATAAACCTACCCATACTGACACGACTATACACAAGTTATCATCCCATCCAATACAACATAAACTGGCAGCATATCATAGTATGTTACATAGATTAACAGAAGTTCCGATGTCAAAATACAACTTTGAGGCAGAATTAAATATAATTAAGCAAATAGCAGTAAACAACGGATAGAACGGACAAACAATTAATAAAATGTTAAATCAAAAACTACACAAGAAAGCCCTGAAATTAGTATTTCCACCACCAAAGAAAAAACCCAGTACCGTGTGCTCGATTACATATACAGGCAAAATATCAACTAAAATAGCCAAACACATAAAAAAGAAACGACTAACACCAGCTTTCCGAACAAATAACAACCTAGGCAGATATATTAAAAACAACAAGAGCCAAAATAAAATACACTTACATAGTAGTGTCTACAAACTTAAATGTGGTGACTGTCCAAAAAGTTACATCGGTCAAACTGGTAGAAACTTTAATAAACGAATAGCAGAACATCAAAGGGCTTTCAATAATAAAAAATAGATTTTACTTACGCACTTCACCTTCTAGATCATAATCATTCTTTTAATGACAAATTTAAAATTCTTCACATTCAAAGTAAAGGCCTTAAGCTATCTTTGTTAGAATCTACGGAAATCAACAAATTAAAAAACACAGATAGATATAATTCTGAATGACCAACTTGAGACAAGTTCCCCCCTTCTCAATCTATTTCATTAGAGACTATAAAGTGTAAACGCAAGCCAAAACTAGATCACTTGAGAAAGGCAATCAGCCGAAACAGCTGTAGTGATATGAGTTAAAATAAATTTTGTGGAAGTTTGAAAATAAAGTTTTCAGTGTTTTATTGTTACATAAAATGAATTTCCATCAAGTAACGGTCGAATCCATCAATTACATGTTAGGATGTTTCGAAAGAAAAGTATTAAGGCGAATTTATGGAGCAGTGAATGACACTGGAGTGTGGAGAAGACGATACAACTTCGAACTTTATAGAATATACCAGGAATCTGATATCGTAAAACATATTAAGATAGGATGTCTAGGCTGGATAGGGCATGTAATGCGAATAGAACAAAATGACCCAGCTAATAAAAGGCTACTTAATAGACCCATTGGTCAGAGAAGAAGAGAAAGACCCAGAACAGAGTTCCTTGACAACATCGATGAAGACATGACAAGTATGAAAATACGTGCTTGACGGATGAAGGCGATGGATAGGGACGGCTGGGGAGAAACTCTTGAGAAGACTAGGATCCACGCAGGGTTTTAAAACCAGAATGATGATGATGATACGTTAATAGACAATGACACATAAGTTATGTAAGATAAATAGTAATAATTCATAATTTTCTTGTACAGTTTCTGGGCACTATAGACGTCAGTTCAGCTCTTTTTTTTTAAAAGCTGGTTTTCTTAAATGACAGCTGATTGACATTATAATTTTTTAAATAAATATTTAATTTGCGAATTTCTTAAAGAATTATATTTAAATCGTTATTAAAATAGCAAAAGGTTGGACAAATACAAGCCAGGCAGGATATTTCCATAACACGTGGGTTGTAACATGCAGAGGTAAAAGAAGTGAGAAATATTAAAATATGGATAGTAAATATATAGATATTAATAACACCCAAAATCTCGTTTTGGCCTGCCTGCTGATATTTACCAAGGTGTTTACCTGCCGTGCCCATATTCAATATCGAAATTTCTCCAAAATAACTACCAGCTTTTAAAGTGGCTAATACGGTTCTGCCGTTATCGGCCACTACCTGTAATCGGCCTCTATTTACTATATACATTTCTTTGCCGACTTCACCTGAAAAAAATTTTAAAAAAATTAAAAATTGCTTTAATTAAAAACGAATGCATTTAATATTTTATTATCACGATAAACCAAATTAATTCAGTATTACTAATATATATTTTTTATGGTCACATTGCATGTTTAGATTCTACTCTATACACAGAGTAATAAGTAAATAGTTTTTAAGTAAATTAACGTGAGTTAGGAACCGTCCAGTGACGGTTCTCCAAGTATTATTGCGGTAGGTCTTCTGGCCATACTCTCTTCAATCTTCTTTCGGCAGGTGGTTGAGTGAATAAGTTAATTACAGTACTGTGCGAATTAATGGAATCATAGGCTGTTTTAATAAAAAAATAGTTTATTTAGAAAACAATTATATTTTGACAAAAGTATAAAGGTAAACTTGTGACAGTTCACAGATATACTTTCATCTCGAAACAAAACATGAATGGCCGCTTCTATCATTTTTGATTTTTGTAGTACAGTAAATTTTGCGCAGTCTAGCTTTGCAAATGGCCCATAAGTTTTCAATGAGGTTGAGGTCTGGCGAATTACCGGGCCAATCTAAAACATTAATCTTCTTGTTTTTGTAAAATTCCATCATTTACTTTGACTTGTGACAGGGAGCGTCCTGTCGAAGAATCGCTCCTCCTTGGGGCAGACTTTTTGGAGTTCTGTATCCAAACGCTGTTCCAAAATGGATTTTTGTTTTTGACTGTTCATCATACCTTTAATTGGTACCAAAGATCCAACTCTGGATTTTTGACTGGATGTTTTACGGTTTGATCAATATGAGATAGTATGGGGTGTTCATTGTCAGACTTCCTGACGAATTTCGATCGCTGTCCCTGAACTATAAAGTAAGTTTCATCTGTAAATAGAACTTTTGGCCCAGAATAACCTTTGTTTCTTCATTTGTTTAGTTAAAAGCTGTTTTTTTTGTGGACGTATTGCCCTTCTACCATTCTTTAAAAGTATTTTCCAAACAGTTGGGTCATAAATAACTACATCTGATGCTGCTAGATCTTGTTGGAGCTCTTGGCTTGTTTTCCTTTGGTCCAATTTGCTCTTATGAATAAACGTCTTGTATCTTCTGGTCTGGTTTTTCTCTTTCTTTCACTTTATCGATTATTGATTATTTTCTTAACCTTTTCACACACATTGATCCCGTTTCTCGTTTAGTACCCCCTGACTCACTCCACACGTTCTTACGATTTCTCCTTGTGACATAGAAGTGTGTTTTCTTAACGTGATAGTCTTTTCACGCTTCCTATGCGTAATATCCATGATGTAATTAAACGAAACAAACTCAGTAATTGCCGAAAACAACACAAAATAGTACAAAACAACACAAACTTGGTGCGAAATGTCCTAAAACATCCTCAAATTATTGGCAGAGGAAAGTAAGGTTACGATTTCAATGTTTGGTCAGTTGTAAATGTGTGGACAGTGTTGCCAACTGTGAATATTGAAAAATGTCATAATGATTCCATTAATTCGCACAATACTGTATCAGTTCCTTGTTGTGATCAGTGGTGCAATTTTTATATTTTATTGAGTGATTATTTGAAGGTTTACTACAGTTTCATAGTTCCATTCCATATACCCAAACTGGTATAAGTAAAGTTTTGTACAGAAGCAGTTTATTTTCAAGAGATAACTGAGACCTTTCTTAAATAGCCAGTTTATATTTTTTAGCTTCTATTCTAGCTAATCTAGTTGTTTCCGTTTAATTTTAATGTGCGTTGTCCATGTAAGTTTTTCATTCAGGTGAAATCCCAAATATTTGACAACTGGTTTTATATAAATGAAAGTAATATTAATATAAATTTGTGAACATGTGGACATTAGGGTCGATATCCACTGCCAAGATTTTCATGTCTCCTGCTAATTGGAACGTCTGCTGTAAATATCAGATACAGAAATGGGACTAAAATGCTACCCTGAGGTACGCTAGATTGTATGATGAGGTAATTTGAGTAACAGTCTACAATTTTGACCGTTGAAGTAACGGTTAGTAAGATATGATTTCAGTATAAAGAAGAGTTAGTCTGTTAGGTGTAATTTCAGTTTGTAGAGGAGACCTTCATGCCATACTCTATCAAATGCCTGTTGTATATCTAGAAACACTCCAGCGCAAAACTTTCTCTCTTCGAGAGTTGTTTTAATTATATTTACTATTCTGTGGCATTGTTGGATGGTTGAGTGTTCACGTCTAAATCCTAATTAATGTTGTGGTATAATTTCGTTTATGGAAATAATTTGCTCGATTTTATGTAATAGTAGCCTTTCTAATACTTTTGACATGATTGGAAGTAGGGCTATAGGGCAATTGCTTGCGTTGCGGGCTTGCCAGGCTTCGAAATCATAGTAACTTGAGCAAATTTACATTGTAATGGAAAGTATCGAACACGTGGTATGCTGTTCTATATTATTGTTAATAGCACCACTGCTTTTTTAGGAACCTTCTTAGGCGAGCGGTTTAGCCCAATAAGCAGAGCATCAACCTACTAAAATTATTTTTGCATTTCTAATGCACCAAATCTTTTTTATTCGATTCTATATATTTTTCCAAGATGAAATGTATTTTTTGTAAATTTTTACAAGTGGGCCGGCAATTGTTATTAACAAATAACTTGTATCTCGTCAAAATAAACACTTTTTATCTCTTGATAATTTTTCGAAAAATGCTTCCTTTTCAAGTTATTTGCATTTTTTTGTTGAAAAAATGCATTAATTAGTGACTATTGGGATTTTTTTTTCTAAAAAACTACTAAATGAATTCCAATTTTACAAATAGCTTTATAATCTTTAAACCGTCGAGTATAAGTTGGAATATTTTGACAAGGATAAATGGTTTCTATCTCGCTAAAAACGTGGACCCAAATATTTCGAATATGCCTTTCGAGAGTATCCCGCTAAGCGTGTACAACGGTTGAGGTGCTGTAGGTTGTGATACCACAAGTTCATTTTATGATATGGGAAAAAAGAAGGCTTATAAAGCTTTGCAGAAATTAACTGATAGTCAATTGGAAAAATTAAGAAATTTGCCGACTTTACCTTTAGATGAAGGACTTACAGTTTTGACTCTATTTTTATCTACACTGTATGACCCTCAAAATAAGTTTAAAAAATATCATGAATCCATAAATGAATTAAGATATAATATTGCATTAAAAAAAATGCATCTAATGAAAAATTACCACCTTCGAAACCAGCATTATTACAACATTACTTAAGTGCAAAGTGGCAAATAAATGAATGGATTCAAGCAAAAAACAATATTATTTCATCTCTTGATCCATTAACCCATGGTTAGACAATGGAAAAGAATTGTTTCGATTTTAATTATTTTGAAGGCGAAACTAGTTTAGATATTTTACAAAAGTATTTCTGCTCATGTACCAGAAAATGTTCTAAGAAAAATTGTAATTGTATTTCCTATAATTTAGAATGCTGCGCAGTATGTACATGTACACCAGAGAATTGTAAAAATGTTAAAGACGACTTTATTGAAGACAATGAAATCAGCTTATTAGATGGAAATCCTCTTGCTGTTGACGAAAATTTTCAAATTATTGACAATGAAAACGATGTATAAATAATACTATATTTTTATTTTATTATATTTTTCAATGAAAATTGATTATATATTGCTTAATGTATTTCACTGTAATAAAACATTCAATAATAGAGTCACCACGTATATTAAAAGAAAGATTACATTATTATAGCATTGTAAAAAATTAATTTTAATTATTTTAATTATAATATGTCTATATAAAAATAATTATAAATATCTTTTTTTTTAATAAATTGTATTAAAATATAAAATATAAAATATTTGTATTAAATTAATTTTTTAAATCTAAACAAATATTTCTACGCGCCGCACGCCTGTATCGCCGCAACCGCTGTACACCCTTAGCGGTAGACTGCTCGAAAGGCATATTCGAAATATTTGGGTCCACGTTTTTAGCAAGATAGAAAAAAATTATCCTTGTCAAAATATTCTAACTTGTACTCGACGGTTTAAAGATTATAAAGCTATTTGTAGAATTGCAATTCATTTAGTAGTTTTTTAGAAAAAAAATCCCAAAAATCACTAATTAAGGCATTTTTTTCAAAAAAAAAGCAAATAACTCAAAAAGGAAGTATTTTTCGAAAATAAAGAAAGAAAAAGTGTGTACTTTGATGAGATACACCTAAAAAAAATTTATTCCGAAGCAATTAGGTGAAATTGCTTTTGTGTATAAGTTATTTGTTAATAACAATTGCCGGCCCACTTGTAAAAATTTAAAAAAATACATTTCATCTTGGAAAAATATATAGAATAGAATAAAAAAGGTTTGGTACATTAGAAATGCAAAAAAATTAGTAGGTATATTCTGTTTCTAAGCGTTTTTGAGGGGTAAACCGCTCGCCTATCTAAAGTAATTTCCCTGTTATCAGATCATAGCCAGGAGCTTTCTTAGGATTTAGCATTTTTATTTGTTCTCGAACCTCTGTCGGAGTAAATGTTGTTAGAGGAAGAGAGAGTTGACATGGAGTTTCTAGGTACATTTTTATATCATCATCTTTATCGATATTAGTATCTGATGCTGCGAATACAGTTGCAGTTGTTGGATTTTCCTCTCCAGCTATAGACGCATGCGCTACGTGCTTTTGTCTTAAATATCTTATTTAACAAAACGCTCACGGCTCAGTTCAAAGAATTAGTCCAATGAATGAACTTTATATTCACAAGCTGAGGGCGGATGCGTTTTACAAACTAATGAAGGAAATTCCCAGTAATACTTATAGTTTTGTTTTTGATCTGCAACAAGTGCACCCACTCCCTAAAACTTCAATCGGCGATGCCTTTTCTCGTCTACAAATTGTATTCTATACATTTTGCTGTGTGCCTATAGACTCAAAGGCACCAACATTTTATACGTGGAATCAAACGCAGGAAAGCATAAGAGCAAATGAAATCGGATATGCACTTTTCCATCAGTCAAGACGCTAATATC